TATATATATATATATATATATATTTTATTTCGTATTCTTAAATATTATACTTGACTCAATAGTTTTAAAAACCAGGTAAACTGACAACTTCAAAAACATCACTCACAAATTTATCCTGATAAGCTGCATTGGCTGCATCCACCACGTCCCTAGTAGGTTCAGATGTCCTCGGTTTGATCCTCCTGGCGCGTGGCTGGGTCAGAGAGGCAGCGATATCCCTTAATTTCCCCTCTCGTTCTCTCTCGTGCTCCAGAAAGATTCTTCGACAGGCGTCGTCATCTGCAACACACGCCGAAGCGAATTTACCATTTTTCTGCGATTTTGGAAACTTTACTTGGACAAATAAAACAAAAAAACAATATCGTTCCCATTAATTTATTATTTCCATTAGAAAATAGAACTTCATCTCACATAAAATAAAAAAAATCATCTCATTTCATTGTTCAAGTAATTTTTCAGATAAACCAGCGTGCAAGATAATATATTATTCAATTCGTCATTTTTTTTTAAATATTATTGTTTTGAATAATGTATGTCGAAGCCAGTTTCCGGGCTGGCCGTTATCGAATATACATTCTCCTTCGACTTAACCAATTAACTTCTTTTCAACTGGAGGAGAAGCTTTAACCGCGTGGCGATCGTGGACAAGGCCAGACGATCGCCTGGTTAATTGACTGCCGACTAATTAATAACCCAGCCTCCCTTTCACGTCAGCGGACCAGGCGAGAACGCTTATCTCCCTCGTTTATCCGCGCTTCTATCGACCCGTCATCGAAATCTAACTGCCATTACTATGCTAATAACAGTTTTCTGCCAGCTACCTCTCTTCGTCGTGGTCGAGACGCCAGGGGAACACGATCGTTCCGTTGGGGGTGGAAACAATGGCGAAGCAGTTTCGGGTGAATTTTAGCGATTCATCACTCGGCTGGAAGATTTAATTTGCGGCTGGTTTACGAGAATATTGTACCTTGGTGTAACGTGTAATGGATGGTCGTTCTGAGAGTTCGAAGGAGGTTCTTCCGGAGAGGAAATTCGGATAATAGTAAAGGAAGGTTCTAAGTTTGTTAAAAATGGAAATTGGAGTTTCTGAGATTTCATATCGAGAAGAAGTTTCTCATGAAAGTACTGAGCTTCCAGTGCAAGATTTTTCAGACCTTTTTAATTAGATATTTAGTAGAAACTTTTCACAGAAATTGAAATAATAGGAGAAAAAAGATTCTATATTTGTTAGAAGTAGAAATCGAAATGTTTGGGATTCAATGCGGAGATTTTTGATTAAATTAACTCTTGCTGATCGAGTCCACTTATTTGAATTTTCATAAAAGTACTGAGCTTCCACTGCAAGATTTTTAAGACCTTTTTAATTACATATTTAGTAGAAACTTTTCACAGAAATTGAAATAATAGGGAAAAAAAAGATTCCATATTTGTTAGAAGTGGAAATCGAAATGTTTGGGATTCAATGCGGAGATTTTTGATTAAATTAACTCTTGCTGGTCGAGTCCACTTATTTGAATTTTAACTTCCATTATACGAAAGATTACTAGAAAATTAGCAGACGGGAGAATCAGTCATAAAAAAGATCTTTTGTAATAACAAGTGAAAGAAACGTGAAGATTGTTGGAATTTTCGCCGTTGGATACGTCGG